AGCCTGTCATGTCAGCACTTCGATCAGTCTGCTTCAGGGAAAAGCTTTGGCAATTCATATTGAATCCGCGAACAGGATGACCCCTCCGCGCTTCAGATCGAGTCCCTTCGACCAAAGCATCATGGAGTTCCAAAGTTCCATCTCACAAGTTCCAAACCTCGAGCCTGTGGAGAACCAACCAGGTCTATCCAATCTTTGTACAGGATAGTACTTGACTGACAGAAGCGCATGAAAAGGTTAATCAAACCAACACCACTTAGTTTCACGCAGCTTCCATCAACAAGGGTAGCCCTGGCTTTCCTTGTGAGACCAAACTGCTGAAAGTGTTGCGTCCCTTTTCATCAGAAGAAGTGGTTATCTATGCTTTGCATCAACCTCTTACCAAGATCTGTGTAACAAATTGGACACCAACACAAAAGAAAGGTCTTCAACCCACAAGCACATCTCCCCTGCTTCCCCTGCTTCTGTGCGGCCATCATCCAACTTCACCACAAAGCGAAGCGAGTCTTTGTCGCTATCCTGAAAGAGCAAACATCAACCCGTATCAACCTGTTTCGATGTGGCATCTTTGGCCTTTGTGAGGACTTTCCTCGTCGGAATCGTCTACGGGATCGGAATCTTTGGGTCCATATTCAGAAGAATATCGTCACTGCTCTATGCTGCTGGATTTGCCAGATTCATAGGAATTCCATGGCCATTGCTATCAGGTTAGGTTGGAGGCCATCGCTAGTAGATTCATAGGAAGTCCATGGAATTCCTCACTCCAACCCTCCCAATCTGGACCTGGCACTGGAAGTCCACCGTGCCCAGCCGGCCGTTCAGCCGCACCGAAGCCTGCTGGCCGGTGCGGTCTCCGGTGCGCGGCGCCTGCCCGAAAGAACCACCGGTAAAACTATCGGTTGAAAAAGAGATGTTTGCTAACTTTAGTTGGTTGAGAAACACGAAAGCAAGAACTTTATGTTTTTGTAGGTTCTTTGATCTGACCGACACCATTGATCCAGAGTCTTGGACACCCAGACACCCACCCATGGCCAGAAAAATGAAAAAGGATACAGTTCTAGGATTTCAATACTGGTCAAAACAAACCCCGCAGCTGGTCAGAAGTGTTGGTCTGATCATTTCAAGAACCATCATCCCATGCTTCCTCCCTTTTTTTCATCCTCACGGTGTTCACGACCCCCGTTTCATCACCACCACTCCGTTGTCGATGTCTCACAACCTCCGTTTCGCCCCGTTGGAAGGTGTCACCAACATCGCCTCGTTCTTCAAGCGGTGCAGCTTCACTCGGCTCTCTTTCGGTTGGAAGTGCGGTGCCTCGGGGCGGAGCACCAGCTCCACCTGCGATGAGCGGCAAGGCCAAGGCAGAAGCCTCTAATAGCTACGTTCGTAGCGTCCTTGCTACTAGTAGTAATGGCCTCCAACCCAGTAGTTTCTTGTTACTAATAGAAATGCCCTTTGCTACTAGTAGCTTCTTGTTCCTACTAGTATGGGTATGGAAGGATGACTCGTCATGGAATCATGAATGAAAGAAAGCACATCAAATTGTTTGAGAGAATCTCTTGGCATTCCCTTTGTCACCCATTGCCAAATCATATCCATTTGGCACATTTGGGTATCTCATGTGCTGTGTCGGTGTCGGTCAAAATGACGAAGACAGGCTGCCGAACGTTCATGAATTATTATGGATCATACGAATCGTTCGAATCGTAATTACATAATATGTCAAAAGAGGATGTCATTCTACCTGCTCGTTCCACCTGCTCTGACCCTCACGGTGCTTTTTCTCTGGCGCACCTCGCCCTGAGTGAGTTGCACTTCACACCGATCAATGCCCACTTTGAAGGTCACCGGCAAGGAGGTCTTGGGTCCTCGCTCGACAGACGGCCCGGCGGGAGATCGGTATCACCGCGCACCGGAGGGATGGGCAAAGGCCAAACGTGAAAAGCTCAGCGGGAAGGAACTGGAACCCAAAAAACCTCGGGCGCTGTGCCTGAAGCAAGATCATATTATACAATATATATATATATATATATCTGTGTGTGTGGCAATCAAAAAGCACATGTCGGTGGTATGTTCTGGTAGAATCTGCCGCCATGTTGGTGCCGTAAAGTGTCCCAGTATCTGGTACCTGAAGATACCTTGATGTGCCATGTGGGCAGTTGGACAAAGACTTGCAAATCAGAGTGGAAGCCACGCCCCTTTTGCTCAGGTACTGGTGAAGGCAAGTCACCAATTGACCGGCAAAGCCGATAGTCTTTCTCTCGCCCGCGGATGGTCAGCGAGATCTGCTTCTGTTCCTCATCCATGACAACACGCACTTGCACAAGCCGCGCTTGCGCACACGCACGTTTCGCGGAAAGCATAACAAAGGCAAAGCAAGACCGATTTGGTGAGAGTGAAGAAGTTCCGTGTCCAGATGATCAGCCTATAAACCCTTTATGTCTCTCTCCATGACCTCAGCGAAAAGTCCTGATTGTTGGGGCATCTACAAACATGCCGAAGAATCAGGACTCCGGACTCTATTATATATATAACATCTCCAAGACTCTTAGACTCCACAAACATTCCCTGGCTCCAGACTCTCAAACCACCTGAAAGTACAAAGTTACGGTGAGCCCTGAGAATTGCATATGCAACACAACCAACCCATGGCGGTCCGTGAACCTGTGGCTTGTTTTGTGCACCAGCTCCCTTGGCGAAAAGATTCCAATGGTCTGTGGCTGCTCAATTCCAAGCATTGCAGGTCTAAGAGAGGAAAGATTTTCCCAGTGAAGTGCACATCGTACATAGCAGTCCCAACTTTCCAAGAGTGCACTGGCCCACAAGCAAGGTCATTCCAGACGAGCTTCAAACCTCGCCACTACCGTGTCCTGCCACATTCACAGGCATCAGGCACTAGCATTACTAGCGGCAAAGTTAAGGCAAGCAATGGTTGCAGAAAGGAGAAAAGAACGGCTGTCTCCAAGTGCCAAACCCCCCCCCTAAGGGGTAGTAAATGGACACCCCTTACAAAACCTCTAACTCTAAGGGGCTTTTACAAGACCCCCCTTACTTAGGAAGTCCTGGTATTGGCTTTTTCATGCAACTTGGACTTGTAAAGTCACATCAGCAGTCCTTGGTCGCCCATTTAAGGGCCTCCTTGCACTTGATGACTATGTGAAAGCGGTTGCAGTAGAAGCACCGTTGACCTGAAGAGGCGACGCCCAGCTACCCTTCACGGAGCAACTGGATCTTCTTTGGGGGGGTGGTAATAGTGGTTCATTGAGGGAGATACAATGTTATGATGTTGTCATGACTACGCGTTCTCCTACTTTAGAGAAAATCACTTTCTTCAGTTGGTGAGCAGGAAGTCGCTGTCAGGACCCTGGCGGCAAGGCAACTCTCAAATACAAATGTCTCATGAAATTGAAAGTCGGCTACAATGTCCCCGATGATCGCCTCCAAGCAACTTCAAGCAACTACCTCACTGCCTGACAGAGGCGATCATCACCATGACTACCTGACCACTCCAGCCTTAGACTCTCCATCCACTGAGTCCAAGGGGCTGAAGTGCTCGTAGTAGGCAAACTCCGTAATGCCCTCCACAGGGCGCGTGTGGTGGTTCCGCGGTGGTCGTTGGCCATCAGGGCTCCAAACGGTCGGGAAGGCCATCAGCAGGGCACCTGGGAGGCTAATGGCCCATGGCTGTCTGGGTGGCCCATGTTGGGAGGACAGAAAGCATGCCCATCCTTTTGGAACCACTGGGGGTTCCGAAGACAGGTCTGATTCTTTGTTGTCACCCTAGATGACAAGTCTGAAAATTGGCCATGGAGTGGTTGGACAGAGGGCCCCCCCTCAGTTTGAAATTGTTTGAATATGGGTATTTCTTTAAACAAGGGAACCAGCAGAGACCCTCAGCAAAAGGAAAGTCTATGATGTCTTTTGGTTGGGGAGCATGCAGCTAGTCAAAAGAGCCAGTAAAGCCCAGAAAGTTCATGACTCATAACCTGTACTAGCGAATCATCAAGACATGAGCGCCACCCAAGTGTCAGTGGTAACTTTGATCTTGTCTTGAAATAGAACTGCTCGTCATACTCATTTCCAAAGCGCAAGATTACCTTGATCGAATGGGTCAGTACAGACTACAAGCTTGGCAATGAACCCCCTGGGCAAAAGACGCCTCTGCATCGGTCACAGCATAACATCTCAAAGATCGGTGGGACACCCAAAAATCCAAACTACCACACCAGAACATTCAGGGATTTCTGGCATCCAAATCTATATATCAATTATATGCATATAATATAATATAGTATTATATATATATATATCGTTGGGTGGAAATCTGCACCTCTACGAAACCAAATGATTGCGAGGGAATCTCCCACCACTATACTCCGGATTTCGTACACATGTTATGAGCCAAGTATATGATGTATACAAGATGGTGCATCCATTGTGTTTGGCACGGACATGGCACCTGGTTGAAGCTGTAGCGGCTTCAAGGGATCCGGTTGTGCTCCATCTGGACCCTCCAGGTGTGTGATCTCCTGGTGGCCAACGACTGGTTCTTCTGCCTATCGCCTGGCTTCTCTGTCTTTTCGCGGGGCGTGAGGTTCAATGAACTTCTCATAGAAAGAGAACAACCATTTGACTAATGATCAATTTATCTTCTTCGTCGAATCCGTTTGGTCTATTTCAGAAACTGTCAGAAACAACGACTGACCTTGAGGACTTCTCTCTGACCTTGAGGACACCGATGCTCTCGCCCCCCATAACACGCCCTCGAACACACTCCTGTGAGAGTGCGCTGGCGGCTTGCCGCAGCACCGATCCGTAGGGAGTGCTGCTGGACGTGACCCAAAGCCATGCCTGACCAGTCCGAACCGCAGGAGGGCTCGCCACCCGCGCCTGTGATGTCCCACCGGGAACTGAGGATATTGAGAGGTCCAAGCACACGACTGGGGGGGTATATATCCCCTCTGTGAATCAACCAACCACTAGTGAAATAAGGTAAAATAGGCCATCTATGAGCGCTGCGACCTCTCTGGGTGTGCCAAGATGTGGCTCTATGCCTAACACAGACACAGCAGCATGTGGCGCTTTTGAGCATACCAAAACAAACCTGTTGCTGGTAGCTCCACATGATAAAGGAGGTCACCTGATCACCTTGCAAACCTTTTCAAGGATGGGCTGTCTCACAGCATGACTGAAAGCCGCGCTCGCAGCCCGTTTTCGGTCGCGCGGTGCTTCTTTCGGATCGGGCTCCACTGGTCTCTTTCCTGAGCCAACAATGGGAGTCTGGTCCATGTGTCCAAAATCAACGGCTTCAGGACCCCCAAGCATCCAGGAATAGTAGTAAGGCCAGGAGCCCCTAGTAGCGTCCTTGCTAATTTCAACTATGAATACCTGAGTTCCAAAGTCGCTCGCTGCCTTCCTCTTTCATGTCCTCTTCTTCATGCCAGCGTGGTTGTGAAGTCGGGCTTCTGATACAAACAACTCATCACCCGTCGCCAAGGTAGTAGCTACTTGAGCTACAGCGACTCCCGCTTGCTTCTACTAGCTACCTCTAGCTACCCTACCTCACCTCTACTCGGCCTACCCCACCCAAAAAAGAAAGAAGGAAATGTTGAACCTGGTCATGCTCAGTTAGTGCTCAGTTCATGAAGTTCCGGGAGTTCTCAGTTCTTAGGGTTCGTTTGTTCTATTCCCCTTTTGGCGGACGGTTTTTCGGGGAGAGCACACTCATATTCTCAGACTCGATCACCTGCAATCGAAAAACCACCAAGGTCTTCAGGTCTTCCTCAAGCAAGGGGCCAATTTGGCAGACGCCATCATCTCATAGAGGCCTTTGGGCTCCAAGTTCTCCCACTCACGGGCTATGGCGCGTAAACCTCGCGCCGATTCGCCTGCAGTCCAACACACAAGCCCCGAGATCCTGTGGCTCAAGAGCCCCTACTTCAGGTGGTCACCATGCAACAAACATTCAGGGCAATGTCCTGATTTCATGCTCAAGGAGCAAGCGGGCTCCAAACAAAGTGGCACGAACGGACAAAGACTTCAGGGCATGTGGTGTGGTGTGGTGCTGTCCCTCTAGATCTTCATGTCTTGGCCAACTCCATGCAAGGTGAAGGCTCCAGTCAGGGAAATTACAGTATTGCGTGTGTGGAGGGTCGATTTGCAGTGCATGTGTAGAGACAAAAAAAAGTAAAGAAATTGCAGGAATCAAACGAGGAAGAACAGTTGCAGGGCTGGGCAGGCACCACCAAAGAAAAGCATGGTGACCCACAGCTGAGCTGGACCTTGGCTTGTAGCTCATGGTACCTTTGTGATTGGACTCGCTCTTTGTTCAACATGAATATATGCAGCTATGTCTGGTTTCTGATACAAGGTCTCGTTTAAAAATGGCGGGTGGCAGGTGATCCAAGTCATCTGATCACCGCTAACTAAAGACATTCAAGCAGCCTCTCACACAAATGGAATGAGGTTTTATTTGATTTATTGTGTTTAGAATTTAGAAAACAAAAATGAAAAAACTTTCGAAAGCAGCATTTACCCTGCAGCCCTGACTGGCTGAAAATAATTGTATACAATTGAAATCATAAATTGAATCATTAAGAAAAACAAAAATGAAACCATTATAACCACAAATGAAATCATTTAAAACAAATTTTCTTTAAAAGAAAAAAACAAACACACAAAACAAAACAAAAATACCAAGTACTGTGATAACAATAACGTTTCTGGCCAGAGCCTGGCAGCCACAGATCATCTCTACCCGCCAACAAACAAACAAGCAAGCAAACAACAAGCAGAACTTCATTCCCAGTAGACTAGAATCCACCAAATGCCACGGGTTGGAAGCAAACAACACTGTGTAGTGTAGTTGGATGGTTGGGGGTTGGGGCAGGTTGGCGGGTTGGGTGGGGCAGTCAAGTACTGGCCTCCAATGTGTTCATCTTTCAGCAGTCGCTTGTGACGCGTTGATTCTTGTCTCGAAGAAGTGTTGTACCAGTTTCCTGCTTGATCTGGCATGCACTTGGCTTGGCACTCTTTTTGTCGTGGTGAAGTCTGACATACTCACCGTCTGGTACATGTCCAGTGCTGATGTTCTCCATTCTCCATGGCCAGTTTCTGCTGATAAAGGGCTACAGTAGGCTATGTTTGCTTGTCCAAGTATCTGTTGGTACGCTGGTGATGTGTTTGAGGTCTTGCTGGTAAATGTGAACATGGAATGAAACATAGATACAAGAGGACTTGGTTGAATGAAACATTTCACACATCCAAAGCACACAAGCGGTTCCTAAAACATGCTTTGATTTCTCCGGTCTGGTCAAACACTAGTCACTAGTCAAGCGGTCGTCATTGACTTGCCTGGGATTCCCATTGCTTGGAGAGCGGCACGGTTCTCCGCCAGAAAGCATCGCCAAGCCTGAAAGCATTGGGCAAGACATCCGGAACACCACCGGAAATGAATGCAGCAAAATGCAGCAAATCTGAGCATATGATTATGTCCACATCACAAGTCACAGGATTCAACAGGTCGTCAACGCGACGTTCCACCCCCCTTCCCATCACCGAGCTCGTCACCCGCCGTGCATCCACTCGAGTCACCGCCTCGCTGAGTACACCCACCTCTTTTGGGATCGGCTGGCAACAGCGGTCACAGTTCTTCTGCGGCGTTTGCCGGCACTCCACGCACACGAAGCTTAAACGACACGCCATGCCTTTGGGCGCCTGGGCCGAAGTTCAAAGCAAAGATTGATCAAAAAGGTCCTCAAGAAGCATGTTTAATGATGACTGATAACCTTGACCCTGAACATGCAAGAAGAGGCTACATTTCCTCAAGAAACAGGAAAGCCACAGGCTACAAATCTCTACGAATTGGTACAGTAATTTAGTTTGACAACCCATTCATGAGGTGTGGGATCGAGGCATTCGAGAAAACTCCACAACTGCCCAAGGTGCCGTCGTGTATCTCTTATAGTCGCGCAAAAAGACCACTCCACAGTTGGAAACGTTGGCTTTCCAAACAGGTTGGCCATCACTAAACTTCAACTCTCCTGGGGGCAGATAAGAGGTTCGCTGGAATGCCTTTCTGGGTGCACTGTACAGACTCTTCCACAAGCTCAAACATTGGCCTTGGTAATCAATGTTGGAGTTTCGATAATTAAAATGTTTAAAATGTTTGCATTTATATATATATATATACTGTATATATCACAGCGCTCCTCTGTACACAGTGTGTCTTCTCTATCCATTCAATCCATCCATCGCATCCCGTTGCTTCCTTACGTGATTTCTCTTCGCCTCCCTTCTTACCTTCACTTATCTTATATAATTACAGTACAATATGTATATATGATGGTATAATCTAATATGTGTATAATATGTATCCCTTATTTGCTGCTTTCGGTTTTCCCTTCCTTTATCTTATTCATGTTAATTTCCTGACTACTGTTGCTTTCACTTCTATCAGCTTCATTCCTGCCCTTCCCTCTCACCACACTCCCTTCCCTTCTCTTCCGCATGTTTTCCATCCAACCTATGAGTCTCAAAGAATGCTGTGCTTCGTGGTTCTTGCTACCAAAGAATGCCTGGACAATTGGTTTGTAAATGGCAAGCATAACTAGGAGTCCGGTGTTTACAAAAACCAGCGCTCCTTTCTCGTCCTTCTTTTGGTCATAAGCAGGTGCTGGGAGCCGAATATATCCTGGGCGCACGGGGCGCTCCAAAGACGACAGAAATTCATCATAGCCCTGACTGCGCATCAAATCGCTCGGATCCACAAAATTGAAATGAAAAGATTTAGATTCCTACCTATAAACTTATGATCACAATGGTCCCAAGCTTTCCAGGACTAAACCTGTGAAAATGCGCTGCTTAATCAGCCAAACTCATTTGATTCTCAAACTTATATGAGACCAGGTCTTTGCCGAACATCGGAAGCTTTGAAGCTTTGACCCAGGACATACTTCTCATAGCTGTGGCAAACCTGGTGCTTTGATGATGACCTTCCCCATGAAACAACGAAATCAAGGAGTCAAGGAGGTGCTTGACTAAAAACCCCACGAAACGGACCAACAAGCAGCTGCTGATGAGTCTGAACCTTCCTGTGGCCAAACATCCACCGACCCCAAAAAGGAGGCCGCGCCACAGAAAGGCCTGTCTTGTCGTCTTGGCCATGGCACGGTAGAACTCTCGCACCAACTTCTGCAAGGCGTTCGCGGCCTCTGCCTGGTGTGCCTCACGGCCCCCCAAGCTCGCCGAGATGCCGCCCTTGCCTCGAAGCTGCAGAGCAAGAAGCTACGAACGGAGCAAGGATGCTACTAGGGGCTCCTGGCCTTACTACTAGTAGCAAGAAGCTATTAGAAACAAGAATTCAATAGAATTAGAAGTTCAGTGGCCTTTCTTGGTTGGCCCGCTCGCCCCCTCCCCACTTAATTAAGGGAGAGGTAGCAAGTAGCAAGTACCTACAAGTGGACGCTACTACATACAGACGCAGGATAGCTCACGCTTCTTCAAGGAATCTCCCCCCCGCCGCCCCAAAGGCGGCGGGGGCAGCTTCCATGAAGAAGCGCTCGCACTAATGATTTGGTTCCTAGATTGTTTGGAAAACTTTAAGTAAGGGCGAAGTAAACTAGGAGAAGTTCGCTCCGCTTCTTCACAGGAGAGTTAACACTTCTTCAAGGAAGCGCTCACACCTTTCATTTGGTTCGATCCAGGCAAGACCTCCATCTAAGGACAATGAGGATCAATGAGGTGAAGCCCCAAGGCTGCTTTCACGGATGTAGGACCTACGAAAACTCCTGCGATCCAATCCACACTCACCAAGGAGCCACTGTCAAACCTACTAACCAGTAGGCAACTCCTATAGTACCTGTGCAGCTAGCTAACTACCCATTTGCCCCCACTGAATCGTACTGATAGAACTGTTGTGTTGTTGGTTTCCGGATTCCATTGCTGTACTGGGCTTCTTCTTCTTCTTCTTCTTCTTATTCTTCTTCTTGTTCTTGTTCTTATTCTTCTCGCCTCGTATGCTGGTTCTTGAAATCTCAATGTCAATCACCAAGACTTGGAATCCGTGAATCATGAATGCAAAGTCCCCGTATGCATTCATGTTCAGTATGTCAATCCATAAACACAATGAGCACTGTCCCAAGTCCCATTATAATAAGACTTAGTGGCAAACGATGGCTGGTGCACTTTGATAATTAACCCAACTGCTCCTAACATTTGCAGCTTTGCCCCGTAACATGAACATCTCCCAGCCAAAGCCGACATGTCTGAGCGACTCTTGTAGAAGGCGCCTCAACAAATTCGAGGCCGAGAATTCGAGGTTCCGCGATAACGAGTCCAGATGGAAACAAAAATGTCTGAGTGGCTTAAATAAGTGGCCAAGTGTGTAAGCTTTATGGGGAAAGATGTCTGAACATGTGACGTGTGTTTGTTCTCGAAGCCAACCATCTTTCCAGAAAAATCCAAAAGAGGAAAGCCTCAAAAACAGAGCTCTGCTGGCCATCTCTCCACAGCATCTGCCCCCGCCTGGCTTGAAATTCTTCTTGCAGAAGACGCGGCTGAAGCGGAGGACGATATGATCTCGGTCCCAATAGCGCAGGGTCCGTTCCAGGTCGTCCTGCAGATGGCAAACGTGGATCTGTCTCGGATCCCGTGGTGAGTTCCCACCATGAAATATATATATATGTCATAAATCATATCATATCATATCATATATCTCGGATCCATATTATATAATATATCAGAGGTGGGCCGTTCTTTGCAAGTCCACGGAAAAAGAAATGAAAGAAGCGTCCTTCACCTGTCCATGCTGAGTGTACAGCTTCGGCTCGTGAAGGACAATAAATCCAAAAAAGGCACCAAAGATCAAGCCCAAGCCTAAGCGCACAAAAAGGCACTACAAAGTTACAAAGGCTGGAAATAGCTGACATGACTCCCGCAGCTCCTATGACTCCTATCTACTCCTATACTGTAAGATGTTCACTCATTCAGCTTGTCGAAGTATGGTTCTCTTTGCAATTTCCTTCGACAAGGGCTCGAATGTGCCGTTCCCTGAAGGCAGCCTCGCTCGCTCGTCTCTCCGCGCTGAGTCTCTCGATCTGTCTGAGGCTCTGCGTGCGCACATGCCCCCCCTTCATCTGCGTGCAGACAAATGCCCCATTTGGGCTTTGGGGAGAGTTTGTTCATCACATCTAACGAACAGCCGTGGTCGAGAAAAACAGCCAGTTGTCACCATCGCCGGGGCGCTGGACTTGAGCTCATGCGCGTTTTGGAGAAACATCGTGTTGTTGGTTGGTGAGATGCCCCACCTCAGGCACAGCTGGTAAAACAGTTGTTCAGGTCTGAGAGAAAAGCTGGCGTCTTCAAGCGTTGTGGCAATCGAACAAATCACCTGGTTGCCAAGTCACAGGTGTGCATTCGTTTGGTTCATCTCTTTCGCCGCATGCAGGATCTGCTTCGAAAGGTCCTTAAGAAGCACTTGGAATTATTGGAAAACGAGCAGGTGTTGAGACAAAAAGCATCCAGGAAGCCTTTGAGCCATCCTCAACCAGTAAAATCTACCAATCCTTTCCCACCCATCCGTTTTGGCCTTGCCAGATCAACTACCCCCCTCACCTTATGGCATATTCAAGTTCAAACATGGGATCTCGACACTTGGGCGCACTCCCGTGCCCAAGCTGCCAAGCTGCCAACGTGGCCGTGCAGCGATGAAGCAAGGTCCCCGTCACCCCGGTGCCCGGTGAAGCGTCTCCGGTGCCCGGTGGGAATGGCACGTGGGTCCTCCCACAAGGTCCCGATGGACCGAATGGGTCCGGACGTGCCATTCCTACGAATGGATCATTCTGCAGCAGAGCCAACCTGTGCGTCTCTTCATTGCCATAGGATTGCCGACATACGAGGCTAGATGCGACAGATTCTGATAGCGAGTTGAAACCTTGTCTGGAACTCTTGGCAAAGTCATTGATTGTAATTGTGACGGTAGATCAGCAGTTTGGAGGGCAGCAAAACAGAAAATCCAGGGTTGATGTTCCGTTCTTGTTTGAACATCACAAACTTTATTTAGGGGTCACTTGTTGGAATGTTTGAATGCGTTCATTCTCTTTATATGCTATTCTTGGTTTCCTTCTCTCAAACATCACATCTGTCACCATGGCTCCAGGGGCTCCACCTCCAGCGGGGGCAGCTTCTTCGACCCGGAGATCCTTCCTCGGAGTGTCTTTCCATCAGCGGAAGCTGTAGATGATCGCGAAACGCTGGGGACATCATCGATGGATGTCGTATAGAGGTTGTGATGAGGGCTGATGAGGGACCTGTGGAATCTTGGGGTGTGTGTAGGTGTGTGGGTGTTGTTCTATTCTTTGTTCGGGCGTGACACCAGCGTTGTGCTGCGCTTGTTCTCAAGGGGGTTGTGGCTTGCAGCTGACTGCATCTAACCCCACTCTTACAGCTGGGTGCCGCTCAGTGCAATACGAAAAGAGAATCCAATGGGCCATCATAGGCCACACTCACTGCACGTGGTCGAATGGGGAACAAAAGAATCAGACGTGGAGCCCCTGGAGATGCAAGTCTTGACAAGTGTGAAGTCATCATAGTCATAGATTGAAACTTGAGGTTCAATGTCTCAGTAACCCCCTTCTTGCAAGCGGTCCCGTGGAAACGAAGTGCTATTGCATGGCTATGGTGTACCAATTGCTTCTTGGTCCGTCAGATATTCAATTTCAGTGTGCCGAATGCAGGAATCTGCGTGCTTGTTGATAGCTCAACCCCTTTAATGATGCCTACAATAGCCTATATTGTTGAAGCCTCCCTGCTTTGAGATACAGGTGCATTGTCTTCACAACGACTTTGCGCAAAATTTATACAGCTTTCCAAAAACCATGATGTTCCAACTGTTCATCAGAGTCTCTTTCTCCAGCAACACGTTGGAGGCTCACAATGTTGTCATCGCACACCACCACATGCTGACCAATGGGGAAGCACTCTTCAATGAACCTCACCTGGGTGCGGGGGGCGAATCCTTCGATAAAGCGGGCTGAATCAGAATCAAGGGCTGGATCTACCTCAGGTGTTTTTCTGTTTTTTGTTGATACTGACTCGCAGCATCTGCCCCAGTACCCGGAAAACAGACTTGTGCGACATCAAGGCCTCAAGGGCACCTACGCAAAGGAACAGCCCAGCAAATGCACGACACTCCGACTCACTAGCATAGGAGTGGAAAATCCCCTATTTGAAGCGGACAGTAGAGGACAGTAAGTAGTCTTCCAAAATTCCTTTGCCACTTGTATGTTACTGGGTCAGAGTGTACATTTCAGGTTGGGATCGCAATGTTGGAGTTGCTGGATAAGCTCTCTGCCCAGAAGTTGCATTGACATCCCACGTAAGTCTCAAGGTCATTTCTGAATTGAGTTCTCTCTTGAAACTATGTTACAGTAGGAATCGCAACCTGATTCTATCACTAAGACTCAGACTTACATTCTTGACTGGGGTGTGTCGCCAGCTACCCTATCATCCATCCTTATTGATCCTTTACACCAGGAACTGCCGGCGATACATCTGAGAATTACGTCTCAACTAGCTCCAAGTGGTGCGTGCTTTCATGAAGATTATGAAGGCGCGACAAAAAGAATGAAACACAGGAAGCTGAAGCTGCTTTTTGTTCAGCTAAAGCCCTTAAAGAAAGAACATCTCTCAAAGGTCTCTGTGTGTGTATTGTCCAATGGAAAAATACTGACCTCTTCTGCGGTGTTTCGCAGAAAAATAGCCCCACCGGACGCCGAACAAACGCCACCCCCTGCCTGCAGATCGGCACCGCGCACCCCGACGACCAGACGATCGCCAAGGTCGCCCAGGAGCTTCTCATAGCCTCGGTTGGTTGGAAAGAAAGGCTGAAGGAAGGACAGAAAAAAGATCGCAAATTCTTCTGGATGTGAAAAAAGAAGGACCGGTTCTAAGGTGCTGGACTACCTGGATTCATGGACTTGTCCCAAAATGCAGGATCCCCAGCCACGTCTTTGCCGCAGCCCTCGTGGGATGTTGAGTTGGATCCTAAAGATGTCCCATTCATCCAGACTGAACCGACTACCCGCTGCTGCTCGCTGTGCGATCCAGGCGCAGCCCTTGGTGAAATGCGGATCATCGTGCGCCACGAAGATGTGCAAGCGGCGTCGCGACTCGGGGTCCTGAGGGCTCGACGTCGGAGCTCACGCCACGTCGGTGACTGAGCCCGCCAGCCAGCGCAGCTTTACTCGAAGAATTCATGGGTGTTGCGAGGTCTAAGTTTAAACTTTCAACTATGTGTTTAGGTGTTTCTGGAATTCCAGATGCTGGCCAAAATCATATGTGATAAACGCTGGCAAAAATCTTGCTTATTACACATGCCAAACTGCTGACGCCAAGCGGGTGATTTGAAACCAAGCATCTGATAGGAGTCCAAGCTCTTCGAGCATCTTCAAGGTCAAAGACATGATACCTGGCACTCTTTCTTGTCTCCCAGTTTGCCCAAGAACATCACCACGCCATCCAAAAATAATGGTCCAAACACCCACCCTAACACCCAGTTCCCGAAAGCTTTTCTGTCGGATCTCAGCTCTCGGCCTCCCTTCTGTGTCTTGCCGCTCTCCGGGTCGAGGCCACTCCGCGCATAGCTCCGCACACACAGCACCCAGTCCAGGCCCAACGAGACACGCTTCCGCGCGTGCTCCAGGAGGCTCTGCACCAAGGGGTGGCTGAAGGCCGCCTCCGAACCTCCCGGCGGCAGAAGCGACGCGACCCAGCCGCGCGCATGAATGGAGAGGACATGGGAGATCGTCTTTTGAAGTTTGCTGATGGTGATGGTGTGAGATGTTCAACGAAAATGGTCTGGAGGTGTGAGGTGGGATGGTACACTACAATGGTGATGATGGTGAGACTTCGAAGTAACAGATTTGAAATGGTGAGACGTGAAGGGAATCTTTGGACACTGGAGACACTGGAGTTCAATTCCCCTCCACCTCATGGACAGGAAGCATCACTCTAGGAGTCAACTTCAACTTCACTGCACCCGTTGTGTCGCACAAAGGCAAGGGAGACTCCCGAATCACCAACCCCCCCCCACCTTGGCCATAAATGTCAGAGGACGGAGTTGATCTTTTGTGGAAGCCAGGCGGCAGCAAGGGCATCTGTTGCCCTGGCGTTGAAGACCTGCCGAGCAGTGAGTGCAGAGTATCGAGCCAATTGAATCCACTTGAGCAGTCTTCTGAGAAGGATCTCTAGAAAAGAACGAAGGGGAACTGAAAATAGCTCCCGTGCCCCTGTTACGAGCTCGAAAATGATCCAAGCGCATCCAAGCGCTGCAGTGGAACTGGGTACGTCTTGCCCAAACAGTTCAACGATTGCCCCGCCGCCTTTTCCGCTTCTTCGGACGTGGCGTGCTTTTGGGAGGACTGGATTTGGCGCGCGCGACGCTCTTCGTCGCCCAAAGCCTGGGCTTGGGCGAACCGGTTGGAGGGTTTTGGGGACTTCAACCACTTCTGCCACGGCAGATGCGGGGTTTTGAAGTTGGCTGAAATTGGTCCATTGGAGTGACATGAGTGACTAGATTCTAGATGCTGATCCAAACTCTCACTGAAAGACATCCATAAAAATTCTACAAAGCGAGCTGTGGGCCAATGTAGTTCTTAGATTTCTGTCGAAGTGCCTCTCATCCAACTTATCTTCCAGTGAGCAAAGATCTGAGTTTTCGAGGACCTGCTCGCTGCCGTCAAGTAGCAGCTGATGAGGAACGCTCATCTGATCCCACTCCTGCGCTATTCAAAAAGGTCTTTGGAAGACTCGGGAAGTCCTCCAAAACAACCAAAACAAAAAGACATGTCCCAAACCTGTTTGGATGGGAGGAAGTCCCCAGTCCCGACTCACTTCGATCTGCTTGGATGATCGACCTGTCCCACCAGGCTCGCTCGCACGGTCACGCCGTGGGGGCCTTTTTCGCAGCCTCCATGAAGCCCTTCTCCTTCAGGGTGGAGGGTCGTTGATGCACCTCAGCGGATCAGTATAGAAGGAAAATGAAAGAAACACGAACAAACAGGCCTAGCATCTGCAAAAAACAAGGGATCTGGCTCATGGTACAGCCCACACCTTATTATGACCTTATTAGACTTTCAATTGCGGACTCGGATCTGTCATTCTCTTTCAATCTTCCAGCTCCAACTCCACCAGCTTTGATCACGGCACCAGGCGCGCCACCGCTGCCAGCGCCTCCTCCCCGAAGCTCTGAAGGCCCTCCAAGGCGTTGCGCGGCGCAAGGGTATGGGCACCACCACAAGGCGGGTGCGTGGCCTGGCACGAGAGCAAGCAAGGCAAAGTGATTCCCCGAACAAGGAGATAAATAATGATGATCTACGAAGTTTGTCTTTTTGGTCTTCCACCACAACCAACTCTTCCTTTGCATTCTCTTCCTTTCGGGTTCCGTCGGATCGACGACCCAGTCGGTCCGGGTGGTCGCGGGCGATGTGGGCGGTCGGAGGAGGGTAGGATGATGGCATCCATGGCCCACTGGGCGTGCCAAATGAGGCCGGTCTCATGGATTCTCATGGCCCCGGCCTTCCATTCGTCCCAGATGCCTTGCATCAAGGTCAAGCCTCGGTTCCACGGTGCAGACAGTATGGAAGCAGTAAAGAAGGAGTGGATTGACCCATGACTACTGAGACGCATGCAAATGATACTCGTCAACATGCTGTAAGGGGGGGGTCTTATATCAGGCCTCAACCCCTTGCATTTTATAGGAGTCGGAGATTAGCTTACCCGCATTGCAAATCTTCAAAAGAGACGAAAGAAAACCAATCATGCTGACTGACCTTGCACCCACGACGTGTGTTGAAACTCAACAATTCGACGCTGCTGGTGTTCTAGGATCTGCACAAACAACGTACAACAACCATGGTGTGTAAGACATGTTCACGTCATTCCTCTATTCACATCCAGTCTCCATCTGTCTTTCTCCGCCTGGGTCCCGTCAGTTGCATGGTTCGCAGGAAGGAACGACGGCCAAAGATGAAGGGATTCCTGAGCCATGCGGCGCTGGAACATTCCGCCAAATTGGCCTTGTTCAGCATCAAAGGTAAGCCACCTGAAAGTCTGAAAGTTGTTTGCACAGAATTATGTGGAAATAGGATCAGATAGATGAAGCCTTTTGTGCTGGCCAAAGCCCACGAACTCAGACATACCTGGGAAAATCTCTTAGCCCAGATCAGCTCAACAGCTGCACAGCTTCGAGCTGAGGCATCATTGCAGAGCTACTATCAAACCCACACTGGTGGACCATTTTTCATACCCCATTCCTCCAACCTAATAGCGATGGCCTCCACCCTACTAGCGATGGCCTCCAACCTAATAGTTGTTTAAACCAAGTTTATACAATCTTCCAAGACATCCAACGGTTGCGCGCTGGGGTGTGTCCCTACCTCCACTTCACACCGACAAGCATGTGGGGCAACCTTATTTTTGGAACCAAATTCAAGGATGGGCAGCGACCCAACACCTGTGGAATCAACATCCGTCATCAACAAAATGCATGCGACATCATGGGACCGTCCTCTCTTTTCGAGGAGTATGGTTGCTCATCTGTGATGTTTGAGGAGTATTTGTCCTTCCTGTGCAACGTGACCCCAGAGGGCTTGATGTCCATCACCAAGCGGCTCTCTCTCTCGAAGCAGGTTGTGATAGACCGGCCACGCAGCACGTTTCTCGGATAAGGCGCCTGGACGCGTGTTGTGTGGGCGATCTCGAAGTGTTCAGAGGGGGGTTGAAGTGTCTAGCCAGCCAGTACAGGACCAAGGAACTTGCGGGCTTCCCGGATTCTATTTACAGCATTTTGCGGTAGCTGGTGTAGCGACTGTAGCGAACAGACTCTGTGAATTGCAAACAACGTTTTCTTACTTGTGAGACGGCCTTGTCGCTCGGCGCAACACGGACAGCCGTGGCACCAACAAGTCTTGATCCAGTGACTGAGCACCAAGAAACAACATGTTTGGCGACCCCCACCAAGCCCAGCTTCGCCTGTGGTGGAGAGCATTCGGTAGGCGAACTCTGGAAGGGTCTCCGGCTCACGTGGGCTGGCTTCATTGCAGAGCGCCAGCATGACCGGTCCAAGAAAGTGAACCCCCAAACGCTGCGGAAAAAATGCGTTTCGGTGCGCCGTTGAAATGGAGCCGGAAGGGTTGATGTTACGACTGTTACGAGCATCATATTACATTGACTGGAATCTCACCTCTGGAGATGTCAACAGAAAGTCTGCTTTCTTTCGGTTTGAGCGTGTATTGGGTGGTTTGGGTGTGGGTGGGGGAGGTGATTTAAGAGCCCCGGGACCCCCAGGCTCCGCTGTTCACTTTCAACAAGTAAAACATCCCAATATGTTGCTGCAAAACCGGATAGTCTTTGGCTGGGAACATAGTGGTTGGCCAGTTCACTGGTTCGTAGTCTTTCCAAGTAGCAGGGCATATCTTCTGAAATTCAAACAACCCATTCCTTGGTGGAAATTGAAAAGCCCAGAGAAGGTTGCAAAGGAGAAAGTAGCCAGCCTATCTCGTTGATCCTCATCTTATCGTTGAAAGAAATATCATGCATTATTATACTATATTATACACGACAATTCATCAGATCTGGATCATCCCCAAGCCTCTACTCATTGAGCAACCAAAGATTCTCCGAACAGCGGCCCCCTCTCGGAGCCTCTTGGCCTGTGGAGGCCAATCGAACACAGACCTGGAAATGCGGAAGGGACGCTCCGGAAGTGGGGACGCAGATCCACCCAGAAGCTGAGGGGTTGAGTGAAAACCTACCACGCCTTCTTCATCTCATCGACGAAACCATGTGTTCAATGCCAGGTGTTAACAAACCCGCAAGGTGTTCGTCAGTGTTCGGCCTCAAATAGTGGTCACTGACCCCTAACAAATATCTGCTGACCGGTTTGGACCTGTTTCCCCGAGTTGGGCGGGAAGCCCAACATGATGCAGAGACATAAAGCCCTGTGGTCACGAGCCTGGATGCTGGCGTTGTCCACTTGCCTCGGTCGCCAAAACGCTTCAGTTTGCCACCTCAAGGGCGAACCAGGACGTGTCACATGGATAATGGATGATCCGCGCAAAGATTGGAAGCACCTGGGACGGGGGTCTTGAGATCCTGAAGGGCACTGCGCTTTCTGCCAGCGTGGCACTTGTTACTAGTAGCTTCTTGTTACTACTAGTAAGGCACTTGTTACTACTAGCGTGGCACTTGTTACTACTAGCTTCTTGTTACTGCACTGCGCTTTCTGCCAGGATACTGCATCTTCACTTTAGCCCTGACCGTGAGGCAGGCAAGCAAGAGGTGAGCCGCCAGCTTGACTTGGACAGGGGCAACACAAAATAAAAAATAGTTTATGAACAATCAATGAACCATTAATAGTACAGTAGTTTTGTATGATAATGGAGCTGGGCTGGTGAACCAATCAGGATACGAAAACAGTCTAAATCTATTGACAGGCAATAAAGCAGCTCAGTCCCCAGCCCACAAACCCTATTTCTTCTTGAGCAAAATACCACACTCGTATCAATATGCTACAAGTCTGCCCCTGTATGTTCGTGTGTGTGTGTGTGCGCGTACATTATGCAATGTATACATTATACATATATATATATATATCGAATGAAACTAAACAACCCCGCCACCGCCCCTTTCAATAAAGCGAATCCACCAAAACCGCGATCTTTGGACGGTTCCCTCTATTTTGGCCATGGCTGACTACACTCTCCCACTTCCCCGTGGCCTCGGCCGTGAGAGTTCCACAAACGGCGCAGGCCGCAGCCTTCGCCAAGCAAAAAGCACCTCGCAAATGGAAGAATGGAAGACATTGTCTCACCCCATCTAGACACTCAGAGCAACAAACATGGAAGGGGATGGTATTGGGCCCATTGTCCTCTACAAACAAGGTGTTCTCCACATTCAATCATTGGATATCTTTGGTGAGTCGATCTGTTTATATGAAAGCTTGGCAGCACTTGCGGTCAAAGACCGGCTTGAAGTCTTTAACAGGGCAGGACTTTACGTCTTAATCCAGTTCATATAAATTGTAATCAAAAAAAAATCAAACACGGCCGATCTTTGAAACTGAATCTGCTATCCTGGCTGGGTTTGTCGCTCAGTTGACAAATCTTTTGAATGTGTGCAGCCTCTTAGAAACAACATCCTTCGTCACAACACTTTTTGGCCTGCCTGTTGAAGACTTACCCATGCCAGTGCCGGCAGAAGATTGACATAGTCCACTGAAATATCAAACAATCATGTACAGTAGCGCTTGAGGCATCATACCCTACCCGGTCAGGATTCATTGTCTGCACCAAGTAGTCTCAAAACTCAAAAAGAGGGGAAAGTCACAGATGGTTCTATGTAATTGGGGACGTTTATGTAACATTGTGTAACCATTGCATATCAGTACCAGGTTCTGCCAGTTTCCCAAACCCGACTTGGCCACCATGCTAAGACGGGCAGCAGGGCAAGGATTCCCAAGACATTGCTTGGCTCCTGGATAGCTGACTTTCCGATTCACAATCAAACTAGTCGAACCCCCGGTGACAACCGTAGGTAAGCTCTATTCTATTCTATTCTCATCTAGCTATACACATCGGCCTCTTAAAGTGGAGCTCGGACTTCGGAGTTGCATCATCATTCAAGATGGGTGAACACACGAATGAAAAAATTGACTTTCACCTGATTGGCATGGATCATTAGCCTGGTGATGCCTGATGCGTATGTTTAATATATATATATATTATGTAATAGACTGTATATAGATCCCTTAAGAACAATGAAATGGACAGAGTTGGACAGAAACCTCGCCCCCCCACGAGTATTGCGAGTATCGTCCATGCTTTACCAATGTCTCCAACTCAGCTACTCCGATGACCGAGTGGCCACCTGTTGGCCTCCTGGGATGCCAAACAATCGATGCGAACCAGTCCCCCCTTTCGTTCTATTGAGAAAGCCATAGAAAGTCCTTTACTTCTTGCCAGCAAATTCGGAGAAGCTCTTCTTTTAGTAAACCCTACACATAGAACCAAAAACAACCCCAAGTTTCGATGTTCGATCTCCTTCATGGTTGTAGTTCCCTTTCCACAGCATCGAGGTCGATGCACCATTTAACACCATTCGTTCGACACGTCACGGAGGTCCTCAAACATGTCCAATGTCTCCACGGCGTTGGCTCCAATGGCTCCGACAGCAGTTGACGTGAAGAGAAGAAATCTGTTGAGAGTCCCTCATCCCTGTGAAATTGACTCCGGAGCCCCTTGAAACTATTTGATGCATCTTTCAATGTAAAACCCTGTAAACATCCTGAAGTATCTCGTGCTGTGTGGACCATCTCCTTGGAACGAGCGCTGTGCTGAACCTGAAACATCTGAAACCTGAAAATCTTGAGCCAAGTCAGACAAACCTGCCCGACGCCGACGCCACGAACATATTCACTGTCCAACTGCTGCAACTCGGCCAGCGCGACCCAAAAAACCGCTTCCAGCTGAGGACTACATAGGTTTTTGGATGGACATCATGGACATAGGAGAATCCCCTGAAGTTCTTTCTTCTGAACATGGGAGACATGGGATGGACATGGGAGAATCCCCTTGGGATTGGACCAAACCAAGTCTTCACCTTCTTTTTCCACCAGCCATTTCGGCTCGCCGTAGCCGCTCCTGCTGTGGAAAGACTTTTCGTGCAGGCCGACCTTGGTCGGTTGACCCCAAAATGAACCACAACTGCAGTTGATCTACAGGGCATCTAGCCCAACAGCACCAGAGTATGTGCCGCATGGCAGTCCCTCACGGCGTATGTTGTTACTGAAAGTTTCACGCCATCTCACGGTCAGAGACACCGTAGCTCAAGGTTAACGGTTAGACGGTTAGACTACTACTAGTTCCCTGGTGGAGACACTACAAAGTGTAGAATGGAAGGTTCTAGAGTTCTATATAGTACAACCTTGAATGCTACCGACTCTAGCAGCCCAGTCCGACAAGCCCTACAACGAGGGTCCGTCTCCTACACCGAACGAGGCTTCGTCTCCGCGAAGCGCAGATTCTTTCGGCCCGTCCTCGGTGAGATCCATCTGAAGGGTGGCCTCGGAGTGGATCCAGTGTTCAACGCGCTCTGCGCGTGGAGGACCAAATGCATCGAAAGTTTTACGGAAAAAGGAAAGGAAAAAAAAAGGTGCAGTTCATGTGCTGACACCTGTTCTCACTTTTGGGGCATCCTCTGATGGTAGGTTCTGATATATATATATATATATGTGTTCTCTTCCCGTCCAACACCGTCTGATACCATCGCATCAAGTGGTCATCGGAACTTGTTGGAAGCTCAGCATAGCATTTCACGGAGCGAAATGTGTACCTGGCTTTCCAGAGGTCTGCCAAGCTCTCAAGAAAGACCTATGACCTATCATGTCCTGACCTATTATGTCCCATGCTTAAGCCCCTTTTCACATGTGTGGACCTGAAAACTGTTCAAAAACCACTGCCTTTTGACGGAGGCTTACAACAACATGCGCACACAGGCGTATGTTGGTTTTCAAATGTTCAGTCCCACCACCCCAAGGCCTCCACCGTTCGTGTCTTGTTCAAGGCGCTACGGAACAGAGCTCTGCTAAGTCAGGCTCACTCTGCATGAGCTCCCTTGCACGCCTGCGAAGAAGCGAGACTTTCCAGACCCACCCTCAGTTGGAACATCCAACACCATCAGCACGTTCCCGGAAACGGTTTGTGCACCAGACCACCATCAATATATGCATACATTGGTTGCCATGGTTGCTCCTCTTTCAAGATCTTCCATTCAAGCCTCAACACATAAAACAGACCACAAAAAAAGCTTCCGCCCAACCCTGCTTGGGAAATGAGCCTGGGCCACATGGTGTTCAAAAGAACATCGCCAAACCTCCTTTGCTGGCTCGTGCGACTCAGACTTGTAGGGAATGAGGCAATGGATCCTAAATAATCTGTAGTTGGGGGGTCACTCCCTCAAAGTCCCTCATTTTCTACGAGTCGCACCAGTCAGTTTGTCAACCTTCTCTCCGAAGACTGACCGAGTTGACGGCCTCAACAAGCCGAGAGCCCTGCGCCGCCAGGTGCTGCGCAGCTCGGCGGTCACGTCCGACGGGTCATCTGCGGCATAAAGGAGTGCTTGTGCGGCCTGGTTCAAATGGCACACCGGTGCATAAGGCGCGAAATAGGCCATGAGGTCCCCACCACATTCATGACAATATCGATATATACATTTGGGATCATTTTGGATGAGTTGGTTTAAATCTCGCTGTCGGCCCTCCTCAGTTTAGAGATGTTTCTGAAATTAAAACAGTGCAGAAACATCGCTATCAGCAACTCTATACAATCAGCAACTCTACGCCTGAGTCTGTATCCGGCACCCCACCTTTTGTAGAACCACCCCACCATCACAGTCGTCATCAAGACCACGTTTCTGGAGATTCTCCAGGGCTGTAGAGATCAGGGGCACCAAAGGCACAAAGCTCAGCCTGCGAAAAAGCTTGAAGCAGCTTAAGCTGGCCAGCAATCTTTGCAAGGTCGTGTCGTCCTATTTGCAGGCGATGCGGAGCTGACAACCATCGACAAAGTATGAAATCCTGTCTTGTACATCTCCATATCCCCTTCCATGCCATTATCCATCTTCCCACAGCCTGGGATCTCGATCAACTGAAGCAGGCGCCTCTGATCC